ATTTGAATTAAAATTGCCTCTTAATTTATTTTATTTTTTATGCAATTTATTTTTACTTTTTTTTTCATACAGGTGAAAATTAATATTATCTTTAGTTTTTTCCTCTTATATATTTTATTACAAGGGCGTACACAGAGAAAAAATTATATTGAATTTTTGAAATTTATGTTGAATTTTGTATTTGCAATACCAAAGTGGTACTTAGCTAAATTTGATTTGGTTTGATTTTCTTTACCCATAGAAATATTAATGAAATTCGGATTTCATTTCAATGACAATTTTTGAATTTTTAATATTGTATGTATAATATTTTAGATATTATATAAGAATTGAAAATATATTAAGGAGACATACCTAAAACAGAATAACGTAAGAGACCAAGATCATATTAGTGTTAATTCAATTTTATTGACATTTCATAAGAATTCAAATGTAAATTTGCAAAATTCAATTTTTCCTACTTAAACAATTGAGTGTTTAAAGTTTTAGGAAAATTCACTAGAAAATTCATTAAATGATAAACTAAGCTCTAAGCCTATTTTTAAATTTCTTTTTATTGTATTATGTATACAATACGTAGGTTATGTGCTAACCACATCAGATTTTTTTTTTTTAATCAGATCTTTAAGGTTACAAAATTTTTTCGATCTGGTCAGACTGTATACTCTGAGTAACTCTGTAAACTATGCATTTAATCAAAATAAGCTTTAAAGAACGAAAACTCCCTTGTATGAAAATATATTATGGAGAAACACCTGAATGTAAATCAAACGTCAACTTGACTTATTTGTCACTCAAGTTGATGTTAAATTTATATTAACGTCAAGCCTATAATCAAAATAATTTTAAATAGAAATGTATTAAGGAGAAAGATTTTTTTGTGTGTAAAAAATTATGTATGAAAATATATTTATTGCATAATTTTGGTTTACGAGTATAAAGATGAAATTAAAATTATGAAAAGAAAAAAAAAAAATTAAGAAATGTATACAATATAATCCACATGTACATTTGCATATACATATATATATATACATATAAATATATAGAATCATATCTTATTGTATACAGTGCAACTGTATATTTTTAAATACATATAACAATGAAAAACAAAATTCAATTAAATGAATTTGTATTAAGTATTTTGAGACAAAAATGTTTTTATAAAAATTTTATTACTGTGTACCTATAACAGTAACAACTATGTCTGAATTGAACATAATTTTGTTTATAAATAATATATTTGTATACTAATATAAATATATATATATGTAAATTTAATATATAATATGCGAAAAAATCAATGTGAAAATGTGAAAAGTCTAGAAATTTCTAAAAATAAAATCTTTAAAAAAAAAAAATTAGAAATTTTGTAGAAAAAATGATTTTTTTTTCACTCTTCTATATTATACTGAATATCATCTGAATTGAGGGCATCGGAGATAATATTATTTTTTTTTTTTTTTGAAAATGAAAAATTATTTAAAAATAAATTAAAAACATTTTAAATAAACAAAATGTATATAGGTACCTATGTAGTTATATAGAAAAAGTAGAAGAATTTATAACATATAGTAGATAATTCAATATTTTTCAGGAATCTCATTTTCTTAATCCAAATTAATAATAATAATTTTTCATTTGAAAAGTTAATTGATATTAATTGATGATATTTGCCAATTAATAATTTATTAAAGATAAAAATCATGTCAAGAAAATTCGATTATAACCGTATACATATACTATATTTATACCCTATATGTACTAAATTTACTATAAAATTACTAGCAGTGATTTGGTATTCATTTATACTGTATAGTGTTTTAGTAATGTTTAAAGCTGATAATTTGTAAATATGAATTCATTCCGGTACACAAACACACACATTATGTATTCATATTTAAATTTTATTTTTCATTATTGTATTATATATGTGTGTCTATATTATATACGTATATGTATATATACAAAATTTAAATATAATTTCGTATTAAATATAATGTAATTTAATATATAGTTTTCTTCCATTTGAATTATTATGAAAAATTAAATCCGCAGATAATAAATTAAATTTAATACATTAAATTATATTTATTTTGTTTTTTCAATATAATCCATGTAATACTCGTATTAAAATAATAAAATTCACAATTAATTTATAAAGATGTTTGTTAAATTTTGATTTAATTCCTTTTTTTTTTTTTTTGTTATTATAATAGAAAAGGGTAGTTGAAGAACATTCAATAAAATCTCGTAATCGAATACGAATTTGTTTTAAAACGTAAGTACTTATTATTTAGTATTTGATGAAGCAAAGAAGTATTATTGTAATCATCATCTATAATTTACGATTTATAAAATTCTCAATTCTCTTGATCTTTGTTTAATTATAAAATTTTTACAAGGAATCCGATTTCTTTTTTACATTTAACTTAAATTAAAATTTTTGATCGCAGCAATTTTAATTTTGTGCTGATGCTTTTGATATTAAATGTCTTCTTTAAAGGAATAGATGGCTTATGGTGAAAACCTTCTATTCAACATAAGAAAAATTTTAAAATATTTTACAATTAATAGAAAAAATTTATATCAAGTTCAGTATTTTGTACTGTTACATTTTAGTAATTAAAGTATGGTTTTTTAAATTTACAGTCTACATATTTGTGTAGTAAGTTAAGAATGATTAGTACTGAAGTAGTATTTTAGGATTTTTTACTAAGTTATTTTAAAATATGGTATAGGACATTTTTTCTATAAGCTTTCGGAATGTTGTGTATGTGATTGAATATTTTTTTTTGAAATAGATGAAAATCTCGTTAAAAAAATATTCAATTTTTTTTAACATAAAGTTGACAATATTAATTTTTTGAAAAGATTGCTATGCACAGAAATATTGTAGTGACGGGATATAACACATCAATCGTGCTCTAAACTTCATCATTAGTTTTAGATTATGTTTCATATTATTAAAACACGATCTTTTAATTATTAAAATCCTTAGAATTTTATAGAAATTTGAGCTAACAAAAAAAAAAAATAACCTAAGAAAGATCTTTTTAACTTACAATAGTAGATATTAATTACAGAAATATATTTGGAATCTTTATAACTATACCGGAAACTAAAAAATCAATAGGTTTATTAGAAATTCTATTTCAAGTACCCAATATAACAATAATTTACTTAAATTTTATATTTAAAATTAAGCAGTTCACAATTTTACTAATTCAATTTAATACCCATATTATAATAAGTATGTGCGTTAGTATATTTTTATATGTGATACAAAATTAAAAATAGATAATGTGTGTTGAGTAAGTATATAAAATATTTTAATTTACACACAGTATGCATATAATATGTTTATGTAACATTGTATGTACGCTGTTTATTTAAAATTATTTTGGTAAAAATAAAAACAATTTTTTTTTTTTTGTTTTTTTTATATTTAAAAATTAAAAATAGAATTAAAAATACTGAGATATTTAATTTATTTTCTGAATTTCTTTATTTTAAAAGAATAAATGCAAAAAAAAAAATAAGAAAAAATTAATTACAACTAAAAATGTTAAAAAAGAAAATTCATCAGTTTATAAAATATGCAGCAAAAATATGCGAAAATTTATTATGTAATTTGGCATTACTAAATATATATTTTTTTATAAAATAATATGTGTGATATAAGAATAAAATATTGAATTTGAATGAAATATAAATGTAGAAATGTTTAAGAAAATTAAATAAGAATTTAGAATAAAATTTCCAAATTTTCATAAAAGTATTGCAAAAAATAGTCAATTTTCAAAACTGAATATTTCAACATATTACAAAATAATTCAAATTCTATTAAATTTAATTTCCAAATTTAAAATTTTGGAAATTAAATATTTATAATTAATTTGAAGATATTAAAATTGTGAGAAGATTTTATTTATTTAATTCTTCAATTATTTTCATTAATGATGAATAATTTAAGATTTTCATCATACTTATATAATAAGATTTTTTAATATTGCTATATTTTGTTATACAGGAATATGTAAATGTTCCTTAATGATATTGTTCTCTATTTATAATAAAATAAAGATTACAATATTATATATGAGTACGATATTTTAATATACATAAGTATATAGATGTATATATGTACTATAGATGTATACTAGATAAAATGTATTTTTCTACTTATATATACACTTTTTAGTTCTCTCTACATGATAAAACTATTTGTTTATGCCTTTAATATTTTTCTCATATTTTTTTTTATGTTTATTATTTTTTTTTTTCTTTTATTTTGGAATATTAAAAATATATGCAAAGAATTTTCATTCTATATTTATTTTTTCTTCATTTACACAATATTAGAGCACTTTTTTTTTATATAATTTATTTTATTATTTATTTATAATAATTAATTATTTATATGAGTTGAAAATATTTAAATGCAAATCAAAATTTTTTTTCTTTGGCTAACCAATCAAATGACAACCAGATATACATATATAGTCTTAACACCTAACGGATAATTGTACGACCATTGTATATATAATAAAAAATTTACGATCATAATGATCGTAATTATGAACACATAATTAAATATTTTAGAAAAAAATGTTCATATTCATTATAAATAAAATTTTAAATTTCCATAATTTTACTATTTAAAAAATTTATTTAATTATTTTGATTAAATTTCTTTAAAATAATTTTATTATAATTATTATACTTAAGCTTTTTGTATTTTTTTACTCAAATTTCGTTATTTGATCTTAAAAGTTTTCGTTTTTTTTTTTTTTTATCTCTTATCAGGAATTATCAAGAAAATTATTTCATATTCTTATTATTATTGTTATAACTATTGTTATTATATGATCTTTTTTCTTTTTTTTTTTTTGTAGCTTCTTAATTTTCTTCTTCTCTTACTGTTATTGTTATTGTTATTATGATTATATGATTATATTATATTATATTTTTTTTTTTATTATTTTATTTCTACTTACAAACTCTACAATAAACCTATCCGCGACTTGAACGGATTGTGATGTTCAACTGAAAAACGGGCAAAAGCGAATTTAATTTTTTGGTTCAATATATTGCTGACGTCTGCTTTTAAGATACAAAAATAACAACAAAAATGAAAAGAAAATATATTTATGCATATATATACATACACAATATATATTTAGATATATATGTATATGTATAGATGTTAGTGTATTATTATTTTCTTATTATATATTTTATATTATTTTTCTTTTATTTTTAATTTTTTAAAATTTTATTTAAAAAAAAAAAAAAAGTAAAGCATAAAGCAGAAAATGCGAATGAATCTAGCCAGATATTTTTAAAGTTTTATAAGATTTTTTTGTTTTTGTTCTTGTTTTTTTTTTCTTTCTTAATTTTAATTTTGTACACTCATTTATTTTTATTTATTTTTTTATTTAATTTTTTTTTTTTTTTTTTTTTTTAAGTTTTACTTTGCTGCACTGTTGCTGTTTCTTTGATTTAATATGATAATTTTCGAGAATCGATTTTATTTTATTTATGCATTTTTTTTTTTTGGGTTTTGATTTCTTTTTAAAATAAATCCTTAATAATTTTTATTTTCCTGTTTAATGCTAATAATAATGTAATGCAATAATATTGAATTATTCTATATGCATAATATTAAGTATGCATATGTATGTATGTATGATTGTTAATGGAATTTGATAAAAAAAAAAATTGTGAGAATGTTTTGCCGTTACTGCCGGTATACACATAAAATTTTGGTTTTTTGTGTTTTGTTTTTAATAGTTTTTATTATATGATTAATAATAATACGGTATTTTATATCTGAATTGCAGTAAAATACGATATTAATACACAATCTTTGAATTGCAATAACATACGGTATCTTAGCTCTGAATTGAAGCAAAATACGATATTAATACACAATCATTGAATTGCAGTAAAATACGGTACCTTAGCTCTGAATTGCAGTAAAATACGATATTAATACAGCTTATAGTTTGTAATTGATGAATTGTGTATCAATGTAGAATTAATAAAATTTTGAAATCACAAATTTGTTGACATGATTAGTTTGGACTAGAATTAAAGAATTTGTAACATTTTGAGTAGATCAATTTTTATTATAATTAAAAAAAAAATTTTTTAAAATAATTACTAAGTTTCATTGCAAGGTCTTAGTCAAGTCATGATATATACATATATCAAAAATGTTCATTGATATTTATTTGATTTGATTAAATTTTGAAGAAACGTGTATAATAAGTCGCCTGTAAATTTTATTTAATAAAAAAAATAAAATGTCCAATAAAGCATATTGAAAAATTTTTGATTAGTGAAAACATTTTGCATATTTTTAGGGGCCGAAAGAAATTTGCAATAATTTGGATTAAATGACAATACTTTATTCAGTAGAAAGAAAATTGGGAAGAAAAAAAAAACTGTAGGTATGCTAAAAACGTAGCCCCACTTTTCCCACTGAGTGAATGACTTAACAATTTATTGAAAATTCAAAAATACCATTACTTTGTCTAAATAAGATGCACATAGGCGTACAGCGCAATATTTCACTCTCAAATACTCTACTCATATAAAATATTTTCATTTAGCAAACCACAAATTTAACAATAGAATTTGTTTTTCTTTTAAAAATTTGTTTTCAAAACTTGTGAAATTCTAGATATACTCGTATCTCTAAGACAATAATGTAATAAATGGATTATAAACAGTACGTCTTTTACATTATACTTAAAGTTATTTAAGAATTGAGTTCTCAAATGATGCATTTTGTTACAAAATCTATATACATATGCTTGTCATGTATATTAATATCAGAGCATTGGTTAGTACATACATTTTTTACGAATATAAAATTGCACTATAGTATTGTGCGTGTACGCTTTTTCATTAAATTCTCAGTATGTTTTGTATTCTCTTTTACTACTTTTCGCTCTAAGAACTTGTTGGTGTTCTTGAAAGTCAAATGGAAATGCAAAAAAAAAAAAAATAAAGAAAAACATAAATAACAGAACAACAAAATTGCAGATGAAGTTGTTCCGTGATTGAAATTCTTTCTCTTTTTTTTTTTTTTTGTAAAAAGTGCATTTATTCTTTTGAATAAGTTTCTCTTTTTTTGTCAATAATATACAATGATGATCCTGTCAATAGCATGAAATTGTAAGATCACTTAATGCAATAATGCATTTCAGGTACAGAGTGTATTCATATTTATTTTTTTTTATTATTTTATATTAATTATTTTTATATATTTTTATTTAAACGTATAATCTTCTCATGTATAGCGTGTTGAAATTCTCTCCATAAAATTTGCTCTCATTTGTTTAAATTTTTTACGGTTTTTTTTATTATTTTTGAAGATATTTTCTCAAAATAACCCCACTTGTTTGTAAAATACATATAATATCAGTATATCAGCTGAAAGTATGTAATATAATAATGTAGTATGCATGATTTGCTGTATGTTTGCTATTTTAAAATTTCCCACTTGAATATTGTTTCTCCTCCGTGAAAAAGGAAATTTTAGAATAGCATTATTTTTTGTTTTTCTTTTTTTTTAATCAAAGAAGAAGTAAAGAGCATGTTATTTTTGCATTTTAACGCTTTGATTTTTATGGTGATTTTATGTACATACATACTTTATATAAAATGTTTAAACATGCAAGGTGTAGAGATGGAACTTTAATTTTTTTGAAAAAAATTTTGATGGAAACAAATGAAAAAATAATTTGTTTACATGCATTGATTTAATACAAACCATAAATTCCGATCAATTAAGCATACATTTTTTCAACAAACCTACATACATGTATTATGTTTCGTATTAAATATTAAAAATATTTCATAATATTAAGTGTTCCGAATTATATGAACGCAATCTGGAACGCTTATTTCGGACGGAATACGTCGAAACGCAAATAAAAGCAAATCGTACATTAAATTAAACTTTGAATACTTTTTGTAAACTTTTGTAGATAAGTCTTACCTGTATGCATTATTTAAGGCTGGAAGTTTTAAGCTGGATGTTAGTAATACTTAAATGTAAATTTAAACGCAAATGTCAACATCAAAGAATCAAAAGTTGTATGCCGCAATATAGCAAAAAACTTTGTTTTTGTTTAACAATGCAGTACTAATGTATTATAGGTTTTGGATTTGAATATTGTTTAAAACCGGTTTTAAAACTTGATTTTTGACAATACTATCATATTTCTATTAATAATGAAAGCATACTGTTATTTTAAATATTCTCGGTGTTCACTTCTACCGCTCATTTATACTGGCCTTCTCAGTACAACTTTCTATACTTGGTAGCAGAATCGATTTTATAAAGTGTTTTCATATCAAAATTTGTTGTTTTTGACAATTTTGATAGAAATCAGTCGCTAAGAGCTTTTTGGGGTTCGAAAAGTGCCAATGTCTAGGTCAAAAGTGTTTACACTTGTTTCTTTAATCACACTGTATTATATCATTATATAATTTCTTTTGTTTTTCATCTTATAAAACACTTTTCGCTTTCAAAATTACGAATATGTGATTAATTTTGATATTTTGTATCAATTATACTCCATGTGACTTAGAAAATAATAATCACTAAATTATTTTGATTAGTCATTACACAATGTTTCTACTTTAAATAATAATGTAGAAATTTATTTTTATGTTTTCTTTTCTCTCCATATTATTTGGAGAGACGAAATTCACTTTTATACAATGCAAAAAAGTTTATTTAAATGTATTAGTGTGTGCGGGGATCTATAAGTATTGCTGGCCGTATTATATGATATTTACAATATAACAAATGCTTTTAAGAAGATAAAAATATCTTTCAGTATTTTTTGAGATTATTTTACGCTAAAGCTGCCACTAAATATAAATATGTATAACATATTCATTATTATTTGTGTATGATTAATAATTTGCTCTATATCAGTACCAAACGATCAAGTGGAAGAAAAAATCACAGAACGCAAAAAAGAAAGGGAAAAAAAAATTAAAATAAATTTTTGCATTTTTAATTATCGCTAAAGAAAAAGATCGCTACATTAGTATTTTTACTAAGTAACTACATTTTGAGATTCTGCGCACACTAAAATTATGCGCAAAACAAAAATTTTTCTTGTTGCTTAGGAGAACTCTTGGTTAATGTACATTTTTATCTTATAGATATATAATTTATAGAGTATATATACTTATTATAGGAATAGAGAAATTTTTTAGATTTAGTTTTGTTGGGTGGGTGGTTAAATGGTATTTCTAACGATAGAGTTTAGATCATTCGTACATACTGAAAAATTATTTTATGTATATGGTTTTTAAAATATGTAGATAATATAATTTGAATATTTGGAGATAACATTATCATTTCGAAATGATTACGAACTTCGAAGATTTTTTTCTATAGATCTCTATAGATTGCATTTTCTGGAATTTCAGACGTTTTGAATGTGTGTACAGACACAAAAGCAAGGAGACTTTTTTGGTGGTATTGGCTTGAAAAGTGTTTCAAAAATGTTAATGACATATATGTATATGTAGAGGTATTTCAAATTAATGATTGACAGAACCATATTGACGAATATAAAAATTTTGTATATTGAAAATGGGTCGTACAGAGAACATATATAGAGAGCAACTAAATTTAGCTTGAACCAGTAATGGAAAAATTTAAAGGAAATATTCTATGTGAGTGGTGTAGGGGGGGTATTCAGAAAAAAATCTTACTTTTAATTAGAAAACAAAATGTTTAGAAATAGTTTTTGTACTTACCTGTCCTTATATTATTATGTTGGATCTCGAAAATTTATAGGAATTAGAAAAGTTAGTATTGAATTCCAAAAAATTAATTAAAAATGTTTGTTTACGTTGAGCTCCCACTGTAAATTTTTATTAAAAATTTATAAACTGAGATGGAATACCATTTTTTATGGAATTAGGATAATTTGGGTTGTTTATCACAAAAGTCTAAAGTCTAAAACGATAAATTTTTGATTCTTCAGACATTTGACATATAAACATTTGACAATTTTGTACGTAATTGAACGTAACATTGACTCAGTTCAGTTTACCATTTTATTATGCAGAGATTTAGTG